AGGTTTTTCATCTATTTTCACACATCACAGTAACTTTAGCATTCAAAAAATTTATTACAATGATTAGTTATTTTGGTCGTTCGTGGTAGTGGAACCCAGAGAACAGGCATGCAGCAGTATTTATCGATATATTTCTCCCTTTTTCTGAATCAGATTGACTGAAATTACAAACTATCAAAATTTTTTAACGACTCAGTTTTGTAGAGCAAGCCTTTTCTCTAAAAATGTGGTATGACACAATCCTTCATCTTTTTTCTGCCTGCCATGGCTTTTCGATGAAAAACCCTGAATTCCTGGTGCTGGTACCGGTATCAGTACCGATCGTGGGACATCTTGTAAACAGTTATTGTCTACGTACTGATTCAAGATGGAAAGTGTTGTTATGTCTCATCTTGTAGAGAAATGTTTGCTCTACAAGACTGAATCATTAAAAGTTCAATGGATCATTTAGCGGTACTAAAAAAATTTAAAAAAAACAGCGGAAGTGCTATAGTCATCATCAAAGCAAATGAACATTATATGTTTTTTCTTTCTTTCTTTCTTTTTCTCTTTCTCTCTCTCTCTCCGTATCGAGGCAAAAAAGGAAAAAATTATTTGTATTTTTACCTCTACACACACACAAACATACATGAAAGAAAAGACGATTATTACTACTAGCAGTTTCCTCTTGCGTTTCTAATAATTTGATAAATGAACAACAGCGTATACACTGTTCCTTTTATTATCTTGTTATTCTGCAAGACATATGGATGAAGAGTGAGGAGCAAGGGTAATAACTATTATAGTAAATGAGAGCAAATCTTATAATCCAAGCATGCATTATCTTATTTTTATTTGCATTATCTTATTTTTATTTGCATTATCTATTATTTAGAATTGAATGCTCTTTCTAATAAAGACAAACTGAGCTTACAACATTTCCAAAAGCTTTTACATTTCGATCAAATATTGAATGAGTACGAATATACTGAAAACACACAAAAGACCCTATAAGTTTTTGATAATATTTCCATCTCAAACTGACCTTCATTATCTGAAATTTTGCTTAATTTAGTGTAAAAAAACTCGCCTCGCTTTTCTTTGTAGAACTGCTGATGATTTGTCGATGAATGATTATGAATCCATTTTCCATTGCTTATACACCCCTGTCCTTTCACGCAGATTTAATGTCTCTGGACTGAGATCGAATTTTGAGGGGAGCTTAAACTACAGTATCTGGAATCAATTTGTTCAAGCGATGAAATGACAATGTGTACAAAGAAAAGCCACGTTAACTCGAGAATTAAAGGTGACTGTGAAGAAAATCTCTATCCAAAGTGTTTTTCATTCTACTGAGAATTTTACTGTACAGTTGTACCTTATCTTAAAAAAACAAGTTATGTTCGTTGAATAAAATATGCAGTATGGTTGAGCGTTGAACAGAGATACTTCTGATAAAAAAAATAAGCTCTGTAAATTTACAAGAAGAGGAAAAACTTTGAGAATAAAAATAACGTCATTCTTTCTGTAATATTCGTTAGATGTCGAGAGTACGTATACTTCCAATCACCTATTATATAAATTCTTTTCTAATCCGGATACAATCTACTTAACGTCGTCAGCTTGGTATCTGCATTGAATTTCTTTAACTCGATATTAAATGCAATCGTTGGAAGAGTTCGACTTTCATATTCTTCATTATTTTGGTTTAAATTAATCATTTAACAATGCAGAGTATATTTTTGATTTCGGAATCCACCTAATGGGTTCCTTGATCAACAATGAGACGCGTCGTGAATTGCTCGGAATTCCATACAACAGACTCATCCTCACCCACCCTCAACATGTTTGAATTTGCATTTATCTTTTTCATTTTTTCAAGCACAATTCTTTAGCAAGAGTTAAGACTAGCAAATTGATTTGTATTGAACAATGATACCGATTAACTTTTTCTTCATCTGATTCACTCTCCCCCACAAAACTTTATTTGACTTTGAAAGGTCCAACAATTCTATCTTTACATTGCATTGCTCTTGTTAAATATTTGCGAAGGGAAAGGTGAAGAAAAACTCTTCATTTAAATCCGAAGCACTCAAGAAGATAAGAAAGATGCGACACAGTATGTTCAGTGTGATATAAGAATAAGAATAGTGCTCTTAGTTTTTGTTATTGTGTTCCTTTTGCTTTCTCTTCGCCTTCTAAGTCTACAGCGTAATAATATTTTGCATGCTTTTTCAGCGAGCATGGCGGAACACACATCATCGTTGATTGTGACAGATTGTTCAAGCTTTTCTTGGCAGCCTATACCGATGAGCAGGTATGATAATAAAGGGAACATCATCGTAGTCTGGTGTGATCCTAATATCGGCTTTTATAACGACACAGGGCGGATGAAAAAGAGGCTGTGCGAAATTAACGATCATGCCACTTTTTACACCGAACTCGAACCGTGTATCACTTACATTCAGTCAAGTGAGAAAGAAAAAATCTTTTTAATTACTTCAGTTGCATGGGGCGTTGACATTTTGCCTCGCATCTCCAGTCTTAATCAACTTCACTCCATCTTCATCTTTTCGCTTGAAAGAGTTAATGATGGTCATTTTCCTGTTGAATATTTCAAAGTGGTTGGGATTTATACGGAACTGGATGTATTATTTGCGCCGATTGAAGAGCAAGTCGATCTTGTTGACGAAGAGTTGCAGACGTTCAGTACTTTTGACCAACATAGAAAAGCACCGATGTGCATTCCAGAACAATCATTCGAGTTTTTATGGTTTCAACTTTTCAAAGGCGTCATCATGTGTTTTCCATGTGTTTCACAAATTAAAAAACAAATGATCGATGCGTGTCGTCAATATTATCACCACAATATGAAAGAATTAAAATCAATTGAACAGTTCGAGCAAGAATACCGACCCGAACATGCGATTCACTGGTATATCAAAAAATCATTTCTCGACAAAATAATAAACAAAGCACTACGAAATAGAGATATGAATCAGCTTTATTTGCTTCTTTTCTTTATCAAAGATCTACCGGAAAGTCTCGCGCATGAGCATAAAAGGTTTTTTCTTTCTGGTGAAAAATCGTTCTCTGTCTATCGAGGAGTGAAATTATCTAGTGATCAACTCGACGAACTGAGAGAAAATCTAGGTAAACTAGTTTCAATGAATGGGTTCTTGTTAGCAAGTAGTCTTCGTTCAGTAGCACTTGCGATGGCTACAAAAAGTACCAAGCGAGGCGATTCTATACCTGTTCTTCTTGAGATAAAATGCAGTACCAAAGACTTCGATGATCGGGTGGTTTTTGCTGACATCGCCGAATTTAGTGCGTTCGCCGATGACCAAGAGGTTCTGTTTGATCTGAACACTACCTATCGACTGGAGAATATTGCACACGATGAGCAAGCGTGGCTGATCGAAATGACTGCATGCAATGATGGACAAGCTGCCGTAGAAGATTATATATCAGAGTTCTGCTATGGAATGGAGGATCTCACTATCACCATCTTGTTTGGTAAGCATCTGTGTAAGATGGGCCAATTTGATGAAGCAAAAAAGTACTTTGAACTCATGTTGAGCGGTGAAAATGGCGAAGACCGCGCCTGGATTGATTGATTCGTACTGGTTTCGTATTCATCATTTTATTATAAGCACGTTCATAATATATTCGTGCAGCCTCCAATTCGCCTTTGCGATAAAGAGTAAAGCCAATATGATAAAGACTCGATACCCACGCTTAATCGAATTGGTTTTATTTTACATAAGCAAAAAAAGCATGATGAAGCACTAGATTTTCATCGTCGGGCGCTCCAAAATGCAGAAAACTTACATTCTTCTGGACATATCCATGTTGTTGAAAGTCTCACTAGTATCGGCACGATTCTATATGCTCAAAAAAAATACGGTGAAGCTCTGGACTTCCATCGGCGAGCGCTCTCACTTCGAGAAAAATGTTATTCCTTTGGTCATATCGACATGGCTCTCGATCTTTCACAAATTGGGCATATTCTATGGACCCTAACACAGTACGAGCAAGCCCTGGACTACCATCAACGAGCGCTTGCAATTCGAGAAAAATGTGATCCTTCTAGTCATTTCGACATTGCTCTCGATCTTTTAACAATCGGGATAATTCTATATGCTCAAAAAAAGTACAATGAGGCCCTGGACTTCCATCAACAAGCACTCGCAATTCGAGAAAAATGTTATCCCTCTGACTATATTCATATTGCTGAAAGACTTACTAGTATCGGGGCGATTCTATATGCTCAAAGAAAATACGATGAGGCTCTGGACTACCATCAACGAGCACTCGCAATTCGAGAAGAATATTATCCTCCTAGTCATCCCGCACTTGGTCACAATTCTATCGCCATTAGCGTCATTTTACATAAACAAGGAAAGAACGATAAAGCTCTCGAATTTTCTCCAGAAGGGCTGAAATTTGAAGAGCCACATCAGTCTTCTAGCAATTTCCCTACTGCTCAAATTTCTACTGACTTGGGCAACATTTCACATAGCCAAGAAAAGTACAATGAAATAGTCGACCGCCATCAAGAAGCAATCACAATTCAAGAGAAATACTATGCTCCTGAGCAAGTTTTCGTTGCTGAAACACTCAACAATACTGGTAATGCATATTAGAACAAATCAATCCCATTTTCTATGCTTTAATGATAGAGTTTCTCACCCACCAAATGTAAAAATAATCTAGCACGTGAGTGTCAGGAGTGAAGAAGTGTCATGAGCGGATGATAGTATGTATGTGACACAGGATGTTCTAACAGCTCTCTGCATCCTTTTTGCCTTTTTTAATTGGTAGAAATTGATCTCATTCATATTTTTTATTATTAAATATGGTATAACACTTCTAGAGTCGGCAAATCATTCAGATCTTTCAGTGGCAAGCAAGGTACAAACGAATAATCATCTAATGAAACTGCTAACTTCTACATCTGACCATATGTGGAGCTGCAATGGATGTGATAGTAAATATCGTGATGGAAATGGAGATCGATTTCGATGTGATATTTGTGATGATTTTGACTCTTGTCGAGTATGCCATGATACAACGGTCCATGCTCATCATTTAACATTGTGCGTTGGGGTGGATTGGTATTGTAGTAACTGTCACCAACAAGAATACCCTCGGTATATCATATGCTCAATCTCATTGTATCTCATTGTATTATAAATCACTCCGCTTTTCCTTCTAGGTTTCATTGTCATATATGTCCCACCCATGATCTATGCAACTTGTGTTACTATACCGAAAGAGCTAGTAAGATTTCGTTGTTTTCGTGATTTTGCGATTTTTTTAAAATAAATTTCTGTTCAGTTGGTTCCATACAGCTTGATTCACAATCACAATTAAGTGATGATAATGATACTGACGAGAGCAAAGATCCGATTAATTTGGGTAATATTCCAGACTTTCAACCAAAATGTATTATTGTGTGGATGGATCGTCGAAAAGACAGACTCGATCCTGTGGAAACTCAGATAAGTTCAAATATTGATTCATTTAGGCTATTCTATGATGACGATGAATGCGTTAAATACTTAATGGGTGTCACGAAAAGAAGAGTTTTTCTTGTTCTAGTTGATGAATTTAGCCAATCTATAATTCCACTGGTTCACAACATTTCAGCAGTTACTTTCATTTACATATATTCTTTTTCAGCAACTAACCCTCCTATTTTTGATCCGTCTCATACCAAAATAATGGGCATTTATCAAGATCAACAAGAATTATATAAAAAGATCACATATGATCTAAATCATATTAAGTCCACTCCGATGAGCATATTTCGTACAATCGATGAAAATGATGATAAGTCAGTGAAAGATTTAACGAAAGACAGTATCGAATTTGTGTGGCTCCAATTGTGGATACAATCACTGCTGCGCATCCAACAAACTGATGAATCGATACAAGAAATGTTCCATGAATGTCGTTTACACTATTAGGAGGATTCGTCACAAAAAACGAAAATAGATGATTTTGAAGAGTTCTATAATCCAGAGGCTGCTATATTTTTGTACACGCAAGACAGTTTCCTATATCGTCTTTTAAATCGAGCGTTTCGAATGGAAAACATAGATATTATATTTAAATTTCGACACTTCATCATTGACCTTCATAAATAGCTGAAAAAGTCACACTTCAAAAATCTTCTTTCATTGCTGCAAGAAAACGATATCAGCACTGATCATATTAGCAGAATTCAAGATTTATCCGAGGAAATTATCAATCAGATACGTGACAAAGAACCTAATTTAAATTTCAAAGTCTACAGAGGACAGAGAATGAATGCAAAAGATTTTCAACAATTGAGATCAAATCGTGGTGGTCTTATTTCGATGAACACGTTTATGTCTACAACTAAAGACAAAGAATTAGCTACCAGATATGCTGGTTTTGGTGAGGAACGACCGGCATGCGAGTCATGCCTATTTGAGATAGAAATCAATCCATTAATGGATATAAATAGAATCGTATTTGCCAGTATTAAAGATCAATCCAATTTTCAAGAGGAAGCTGAAATATTGTTTTCGGTCGGAATGATATTACGTATTCAATCAATTGAAGAAAAGAACGGACTTTGGTACATAAAATTAATATCGGATGTAATAAAAGATTCCCCTGCAAAAGAAGTTTGTGACCGTCTTTTTAACGACTTAAATAATATTTCTCAATCATTACATGTTTTTTGTATGCTATTATCTATTGTTTACCCGTTAAACAAAATGGAACGTTAATTCAAGTTATTAGAGCATGAATATTCAAATGATGACGAGACGAAAGGCACTATATATGACGTACTATTAACGTTATATCTCCAGAAAGGTGATCATCAGAAAGCCATTAAATATTTGAAAAACGGCGACTGTTATTAGAAAAAAATGGACCATTGGGATATGCAGCTTCAGGACTATTATACTTAAATGAGGGGTATCTATTTATGAAGTTTGGGTTATTCGATCAAGCAGAATTTAGTTTTCAGCTAGCATTAAATAGAATCGCTTTATCTGGCGATGCCCTCCCTCACTATTACTTATCATTAGCATATAAAAGTATCGGTGAAGCTTATTTCCGGAACAATAACATGAGTAACGCATTATTTTACTTTGAAAAAGCACTCGATCTGTGCTTGAGTGATAGTCATTATTTCAGTCTCGAGGTCACTATATATTATACCTGGATAGGAAGAGTTTATTGGAACAATGAAGATTATTCAACAGCTAAAGTATTTTAAAAAGGTTAACGAAATTAATGAAAAAATTTTTCCATCAAATTGTCATCGAAATACACATATTCTTTATTATATCGTCGAGCTATACGTCGAAATTGGTGACTATAACATGGCAGTTGAATATTACAATAAATATAACAATGCAGAACATCATGATCCTCATTGCATCAAGGATTTATCAAATGGTCTTCTCTACACTGCTATTGCCATGCGACATTATCGTAAAAGTGAATGGATTATCGTTATGGAATATCTGCAACAAGCAGCGAATATACAAAAAGTTTTCTCACCATTTCATCCTACTTTGGGGCTAACTTATAATCTTATCGGAAATATTTATCGAAGTTTCAAAAAAGATTATGCTTTGGCCTCAATGTATCATGAAAAAAGTGACAACATTTTCAATAAACCCCCTACTGTAAATTATGATGTAGGTCTTTTGAACTCTATACAACATAATGTTGCTGGGGATTATTCTAATCTTGGAGATAATATAAGGCTGAGTGAATTTGTTAAAAACATTGTGGATAACAAAATGAGTAGTATGAAAAAATTGTACAATATGGCGAAAACTTCTGACAATCAATTATTATTCTTGGATACTACCGGTGATACACTGACAGCGAACACTCATGCACTACATGATAATGGATCGGAGTCAATTAATCAGACAAATGAATCGCTTAATACAGTATCATTTATTCCTAGTAAAACTCTTTATTTTTCATATTTTCAACTTGGAGAAAAATATGCTATTGAACAAGATTTTGAAAATGCGTTAATCAATTTTGAAAAAGGAATAGAAGAACAACAAAAGTTTTTACCATATGAACACCCGTCGTTTATTCCTTCCTATAATGTAATTGCTTCTGTGCTGTATCAACTAAAAGATTATAAAAGGATGCTGCACTACCTTGAAAAAGTACTACACATACATCACAGCAGACATCCGGTAAACCATCGTCAAATTTTCGGAACATATCATAATATGCTAGAGGCGTACATTTCCTTAAAAGATGAACAAGGTGCTTGGAAATGTTCTGAAGTTCTTCTCGATTTGTCATTCAAGTATGATTATCCGGAGACCAAAATGATTCAGCAAATACAAGATGCACTGATGTCCAAACATCCGAAGAGCATAAGTAAGTCCGAAATATCGGCATATCCCTCCTATAATGAAGAAAAATTCAACTGTTATGGCTTTGAAGATACCGCTTTGCTTCGCAATAGTTGACTGTGGCATGAATACAGAAGCAAGTCACGGGAAAGTATTGTCGATGATGTATGTTATGTCTTTCAAACTGAAAATGATCCATTTTGGTGGATAAAAATAACCGGTAGAATTTCTAATGCCAATCTATCTGATGTGCGCGACTTATTAGACACTCATTTTGTTGAAAGACAAAGTGAATGGCAAAAAACACTTATTTTCGGCGACATCCTACATCGTTACAATTCCAATGCTGAAATATGTTATTTCCAATACGGTTCTCCGCTGCCAGGCGGATCACCACGGGATTCTTGTTACGGTTCTCCGCTGCCAGGCGGATCACCACGGGATTCTTGTTTCCTGAAATATGTGCCGAATTTTCGGAGTGACAATAGTTTTCGTATCACTTACAGATCAATTGATGTGCCACTTAGGAGTGGATTTATTCGAACGAAATACAAAGGTCCACGTGTAGTTGGTAGGCTAGAAGGTAGAAATTTGTACTATATGAGTTTGCATCACTTAGAAGGTGTAGGATGGATGCCGCCGATTAAGTTGAATCAATTGCAATGTGACATTCTGTTGGACGAAGTGGAGAACATACGAAAAATAACCCGTAAACAACCAACTCCGATATATGACGGTCATCAGGCTCCGCAGCGGCCCTTCTTTTCCCGGTTAATCTGTTTCTCGAAGCGTCCTTATTTGTCCTTCTTTTGTCGATTTTCTGCGATTCTTATGCATGAAGAAGAGGCATCGGGTTTTTCGCTTCTACCTGCAATTTCTCAGTCCAATAGAGCTGGCACAAAGTTTAGCAACAATTTATTTTTTAATGTTTTTCTATGATGTTAACTATCTAGCTCAAATCTAAATAGAGATTTGAATAGCCAATGAAGTTTTTCTATCTAATGCATTCTATGTCAAGGTTCCGTAAGCGAACTATAGTGGCAAAGTTTCGAAACAGTAAGATGCATAAGTTTTCAGTTCATAGAAGACTTTGTTAAAGCTGTTTTTGAACAGTGCTATGTGAAAGAGCATATATACGGGCAATTAAAGTGGCATTGTGAACCAACATTCTTTTTGGAATCCCATGCGCAGTGGGCAGTGGGCATCCAGGCGGACATTAGGCGAAAAATGGACATAACTCTTTTCTCAAAGATAAATAGTGTAAAATGTAGCCCTTCAAATTGTCTAGGATGTTTTGTCTGCAGATGTTTAACAAAATTTGACGTTGTCTTTGTCGTATCTTTTATCACTATTGAACATACTGTACATTTAGCACACCATTTATTACTCATAGTATCTTTTTTAATATTAGTGTAA